GCAAAACCCATGGAGCACTGGAGTGCCAAGTGGGGAAGGCAGAGTCAGCAGCCACTTAAAGGAGAAGGAATAAACTCAAGAAAAGGAGGAAGGTCGCTACCTCTAAGGACTGTGTGCCTTGCCTAGAGTTGTCTGGGTGGTTCATGGGAGTGAGTCTTCTTGAGAGTAACATGCATCCCCAGCATCAGGGCCCTAAGAAGGTCAATTTTAGGAGGTTCTGGTGGCAGTGCTCACTGACACAGCTTGTCAGAGCAGGAGACGAAATGATTTGAGCCTGTGGCAAGCTGCTTGGGTCACCTTGGTCCAGAGTCGCGGTGAGAAACTCTTTGGTAACCAGCTGTTCTGGGACCAATTGGGGGTCATTGCTCTTGTGTCTAAGGGAAAGGTTGCAGGGTCAGTATCCCAGAGCAGAAGGAGATGGCTCCTTAACTGCAGCTCACTTCAGCCCCATCCTGCCCCACCCTCCTGCCCGGAAGCCCCATGTGCCATCTTATAAACCTTCTTTCCACTAGAGATGTCCTTATGCTTCTTTCTGAAAAACTTTACTTTTTAAATAATTTTATTTACATATTTCTTTACTCACTATTTTATGGGACTGAGGATTGAGCCCAGGCTCATTGGGCCGAGCTACATTCCTAGCTCCTTGGCCCCTTTTTGAGCCAGAGTCTCCCTAAATTGCCAAGGCTGGGTTTGAATCTTTGATCCTTCTGCCTCAGACTCTCAGCACCTGGGGATTATAGATGTGCATCACTATGCTCAGCTTATTGTTTTCATCTTTAAAATGATCTGTGCTCAATGAAAAACGAACAATATAGAAATATAGTGTTAACAGCTCCCATATGGAGCATTTTCTTTGCATAAGGCATTGTTCTAAAGTACTGAATGTACATCAGTTTGTGTAAACTTCCCAATATCCCTGTGAAGTAGGTAACTTATCACCCACCCCATTGACAGGTAAGAAAACTAAAGTTCATAAGATGAAGTAACTCACCCAAAGTCACACAGCTAGTACGTGGCAAAGCTGAGACTTGAATGCAAGCACTTCCGTCCACATCACGTATCCGGCCTTAAAAACTGCAAGGGAGAATAATCAACCCAACCCACCACTCATTGATGACCACTGTTAATGTGCTTCCAGACCATTCTTTATACACATATCTGTGGTATTTGTTTTATCCTGATCTCAGTAGAATAAAATCTAGGGTTGGTTGGGCTTCTGGGAAGAAGGAGTCACCAATTAAATATCCCCAGATTTCGTTAAAAACTCTAACCAGAAGACCTGCAATTGGCTGAGTCCTGCTCCCTTGTCTTGCTAGGTGCATCATGCCGAGCACACAGTAAGCACTCAGCAAGGGCTCTTCGGTGATGTCTAGGACAGGTTCATCTGTCTACTTGGCTTCTGCTCCCATGTAGATATCTAAGAGCTGTGAGTTCCTTCCTCTGCAGATGGGGCCAGTGCTGGTATTGTAGCCAAATAAAGAACCACCTGCCTCAGCGAGCCTGGAAAATGTGGTCATGGTGTGTCATCACTCTGGAGAGCAAATCTGAGAGCAATACACTGGCATGGAAAGCCCTGCTGCATTTGTAATCTTTCTCATGGTGCAGAGAAGCATTCAGGGGACAGGGATACTCACGGGCAGGTTTCATATATGTTCTGGGAGTGGGGAGTGGAGTAACTGCAGTGTGGTGTTAAGTCACAGCACTTCTGGAGTTCTCAGGGGCTCCTGTGGTCTGGGCCAGCTTGGCTTTGCGGGGACTGGAGAACCACCAGTAGCTGATGAAGGGAATGACTTCAGGGGCAGTGACATTTCCCTGCCTGGCCATGAGTTCTCACTGAGCAAGCGGAGGAGGAAATGCTTGTCACATCAAGGCAGGCCATGACAGAAGCTAACTGGGAACTAGGGAAACCTGTTCTTACCTCCCACAACCAGCACCTCCCAGACACACACACAAAACCACACGTGCATCCTCTTTTTGTTTCAATGCTGGGGATGAGACCCAGGAGGTATTGCCATAGCCTTGCACTTCCTCTTAAGAAAGAAAGAAAAAAAGATATATGAAATAGCCAATTTTATATTATATGTATTTTACCACAATTTTAAGAAAAGTTACCAGAACAAGTTAAATATTCTATTCTCTATCCTTATTCCTATGTCTATGTAGTTGTTGTTGATTGAGAAGGTTTCTTGTGCCCCTTGAATTACATAACAAGTTGGGCAGCCTTCTCTGATCAGGGGGACTCTGGGAAGTTGTGTTATCTTGGCAGGAATACTGTAAGCTCAAGATGGAGATTTTGTGTTCCTCTGCATTAATCTGCAGCTAATGCCAATGAACATTATCCTTGTTTAATTACATCCACTAACCAACTGACACAACTTCCCCTGGGAAGAGGCTTATCCGACTCTGACTCATGCTTTACAGCATGTTGGATTTGAGGAAATGGATAATATACGCCCCGCTGGCTCTGGAATTTTAAACAGAAACCCACATGCTTCTCAGTCTCCGGCTCACTCCCAAATATGGGAGTTTGTGTGTGCCCTGGCCACAGTTGCAGGAGGCATGCTCAGTGTGACAAACAGCAAAACCCATGGAGCACTGGAGTGCCAAGTGGGGAAGGCAGAGTCAGCAGCCACTTAAAGGAGAAGGAATAAACTCAAGAAAAGGAGGAAGGTCGCTACCTCTAAGGACTGTGTGCCTTGCCTAGAGTTGTCTGGGTGGTTCATGGGAGTGAGTCTTCTTGAGAGTAACATGCATCCCCAGCATCAGGGCCCTAAGAAGGTCAATTTTAGGAGGTTCTGGTGGCAGTGCTCACTGACACAGCTTGTCAGAGCAGGAGACGAAATGATTTGAGCCTGTGGCAAGCTGCTTGGGTCACCTTGGTCCAGAGTCGCGGTGAGAAACTCTTTGGTAACCAGCTGTTCTGGGACCAATTGGGGGTCATTGCTCTTGTGTCTAAGGGAAAGGTTGCAGGGTCAGTATCCCAGAGCAGAAGGAGATGGCTCCTTAACTGCAGCTCACTTCAGCCCCATCCTGCCCCACCCTCCTGCCCGGAAGCCCCATGTGCCATCTTATAAACCTTCTTTCCACTAGAGATGTCCTTATGCTTCTTTCTGAAAAACTTTACTTTTTAAATAATTTTATTTACATATTTCTTTACTCACTATTTTATGGGACTGAGGATTGAGCCCAGGCTCATTGGGCCGAGCTACATTCCTAGCTCCTTGGCCCCTTTTTGAGCCAGAGTCTCCCTAAATTGCCAAGGCTGGGTTTGAATCTTTGATCCTTCTGCCTCAGACTCTCAGCACCTGGGGATTATAGATGTGCATCACTATGCTCAGCTTATTGTTTTCATCTTTAAAATGATCTGTGCTCAATGAAAAACGAACAATATAGAAATATAGTGTTAACAGCTCCCATATGGAGCATTTTCTTTGCATAAGGCATTGTTCTAAAGTACTGAATGTACATCAGTTTGTGTAAACTTCCCAATATCCCTGTGAAGTAGGTAACTTATCACCCACCCCATTGACAGGTAAGAAAACTAAAGTTCATAAGATGAAGTAACTCACCCAAAGTCACACAGCTAGTACGTGGCAAAGCTGAGACTTGAATGCAAGCACTTCCGTCCACATCACGTATCCGGCCTTAAAAACTGCAAGGGAGAATAATCAACCCAACCCACCACTCATTGATGACCACTGTTAATGTGCTTCCAGACCATTCTTTATACACATATCTGTGGTATTTGTTTTATCCTGATCTCAGTAGAATAAAATCTAGGGTTGGTTGGGCTTCTGGGAAGAAGGAGTCACCAATTAAATATCCCCAGATTTCGTTAAAAACTCTAACCAGAAGACCTGCAATTGGCTGAGTCCTGCTCCCTTGTCTTGCTAGGTGCATCATGCCGAGCACACAGTAAGCACTCAGCAAGGGCTCTTCGGTGATGTCTAGGACAGGTTCATCTGTCTACTTGGCTTCTGCTCCCATGTAGATATCTAAGAGCTGTGAGTTCCTTCCTCTGCAGATGGGGCCAGTGCTGGTATTGTAGCCAAATAAAGAACCACCTGCCTCAGCGAGCCTGGAAAATGTGGTCATGGTGTGTCATCACTCTGGAGAGCAAATCTGAGAGCAATACACTGGCATGGAAAGCCCTGCTGCATTTGTAATCTTTCTCATGGTGCAGAGAAGCATTCAGGGGACAGGGATACTCACGGGCAGGTTTCATATATGTTCTGGGAGTGGGGAGTGGAGTAACTGCAGTGTGGTGTTAAGTCACAGCACTTCTGGAGTTCTCAGGGGCTCCTGTGGTCTGGGCCAGCTTGGCTTTGCGGGGACTGGAGAACCACCAGTAGCTGATGAAGGGAATGACTTCAGGGGCAGTGACATTTCCCTGCCTGGCCATGAGTTCTCACTGAGCAAGCGGAGGAGGAAATGCTTGTCACATCAAGGCAGGCCATGACAGAAGCTAACTGGGAACTAGGGAAACCTGTTCTTACCTCCCACAACCAGCACCTCCCAGACACACACACAAAACCACACGTGCATCCTCTTTTTGTTTCAATGCTGGGGATGAGACCCAGGAGGTATTGCCATAGCCTTGCACTTCCTCTTAAGAAAGAAAGAAAAAAAGATATATGAAATAGCCAATTTTATATTATATGTATTTTACCACAATTTTAAGAAAAGTTACCAGAACAAGTTAAATATTCTATTCTCTATCCTTATTCCTATGTCTATGTAGTCCTATGATTTCCCTGCAAGGACCACAATACACATTATTGTGTTTGATCCCCTCAACTTAAATGTAATGAGTAGATATAATTATTTCTCTAAAATATACATTACTTTCTCTCTTATGTAGTCCTATGATTTCCCTGCAAGGACCACAATACACATTATTGTGTTTGATCCCCTCAACTTAAATAATTATTTCTCTAAAATATACATTACTTTCTCTCTTTTTTTTTTTTTCAGACAAGGTCTCATTCTGTAATTCAGGTGATCTTCCTGCCTCAGCCTCCCAAGTGCTGGGATTACAGGTATGCACCACCATGCCCAGCAAAAACATAATTACTTTTTTTTCTTTTTCTTATTGAAGCATAACATATATACAGGAAAGTACACTAATCATAAATGAATATGAGTATAAAATTTAAAAAACCAAACATTCCATGTAACACCTAAAGAAAGGAACAGAATACCCCAAAAGTCAAAAGTACCCTCAAAAGCCCCCTTTGACTGCTCCCAGTCACTGATCTCCCAGGGTTATTCCCTCTCTATACGTTAACAGCATAACTTGGCCTGTTTTTTTAATTTGACATGAATGGAATCGTAGGTATGTACTTTTTTGTCTGACTTCTTCCATTTAAGATTGTATTTACTTTTTTACATTCTTTGTTTTTTGGGGTTGTTTTGCTTTGTTTTGGTACCGGGGATTGAACTCCGGTCCTTGTGCTTGCAAGGCAGGCCACCGAACCACTGAGCTAAATCCCTGGCCCAACATTCTTTGTTTTTGTTTTGTTTGTTTGTTTTTGGTACTGGGGATCAAACTCAGGCCCTTGTGAGGTAGGTGACAGAACCACTGAGCCAAGCCCTTAAGATTGTGTTTGTTAAACAACTGTGTTGGGCTGAGAGTTTAGCTCAGTAGTTCTGCTGCCTGCCTCACAAGTGCAAGGTCTGGAGTTCAATCCCCAGTACCAAGAATAAATAAATAAAAGATTGCGTTTATAGTAGTCACCTATGTCATTTGTGTATGGATCATTTATTCCTGTTGCTCTATAGTACAGTGGTACCTCAGTTCATGGACACTTATCTGAGAGCAATTTGGTTCACAAACAAAAGTGTTTGGCAAAATTTTGTTTTTGTTTGTGAACTCTGTAGGAACCAACCTACAAGTTTATCCCTGATGCAGGCAGTGAGGACAAAAGACAAAAGACACAAAGGTAATTTGGAATGAGGGGGCCAAGGAGCCCTTTGCCTCTGGTGGACAAAGAGCCCCGAACATTTGGCTCACCTTAATTCTATTCATGTAGACACATGGGAGCAAACAATCAGATTAATAGAAACAATTAGTTTAATAGTCATCTTCCTCTTGCTATCTATAGCATATACCTAGGTAAACATATAAATCTCAGCTGTGCAGACTCTTCTCTGGAGCTTGCAGTGTGCTAGCATGCACATTGCCAACGGAGGCACAGCTGTTTTTCTCCTTTGTGCTCACAGATAAGGTCAGAAAGGCCTCGATCATCATGATCTGGTCTCCTACAAACTCTGCATCCAGTGATGAGCACAAGTGTGGCCATTTTTCCTGCATGAACACAAACATGGCCATCTTTTCCAGAATCATGGAACAAATTAAGTTTGTGTACTCCACTGTGTTCTGTTGTATGAATTCACCAGTTTATTTATCTGTGCTGTTATTGGTGGATATTTGAATTGTTTGTGTTTTTTTAGCTATTATAGATAATGCCATTATGAACATTTTATAAATGTCCTTTTGTATCTGTGCATGCATGTTTCTATAAATATAATTACTTATATTGTATGTATAAATTCAGCTTTAGCAGATATTTCTGGATGGTTTTCCAAAATGGTTGCACCAATTCACACTCCCACTAGTAATGTGTGAGAGTTCCACTTGCTCTTTATCCTTACCACCACTTAGTGTTTCTGTCTCTTTTCATTGAGCCTTTCTGTGGTTGTGTAGTGTATCTTGTTGTGCATTTAATCTGCATTTTCCTACTGATTGATGAATTTCTATATGTTATTAGCCATTTGATATTCTAGGGACTCTGGGGGGCTAGGAATTGAACTCAGGGCCTTTGCACTGATCTTTACACCCAGCCCTCTTACTTATTTTTTATTTTAAGGCAGAGTTGCCAGGCTGGAATGGACTTTGTGATCCTCTTTGCCTCAGACTCCCAGAGGGCTAAGATTATAGACATGTACTACTACCATGCTTATTCTAAGGATTTAAAAAATTTTTTTCCTGGTTATTAAAGAAACATATACTGCCTATAATACCAGCTCTTGGGAGGCTGAGGCAGGAGGATTTCTATGAGTTCAAGGCCAGCCTGGGCTACACAGTGGGTTCAAGGCCAGCCTGAACTACAAAGCCAAAAAACAAAAAAGAAAAAAAAACTCAAAAAATCAAAAAACAAATAAACAAACAATAAATAAAGTAATGCATAAGCTAGGCACAGTAGTGTGTACCTGCAATACCAGATACTTAGGAGGCTGAGGTAGGAGGATTGCTTGAGCCCAGGAGTCCAAGACCAGCTGGGACAATGTAAGACCTTGTCTATCTCCCCAGCCCCACCAAAAAGAAATCCTCCATCTCAAAATGAATGAATAAATAAATAAATAATACATACTAATTGATGAGAATCTGGCAAACAAAACAATCATATTATCTTTGTACTATGTCAAGTTAGCTAAACTGGAACCATGTTTTTCTCTGTAAACTTCTGGAATAGGGTCAGCCACAAGAAAATCTGTGCAAGATTGCAAGATTTTGGGGGCAGAGGAAAACTGGCACACTGATGCTCCAAGGGTGGTGGCTCAGTCACTCATAGTATCCCAGATCCTCCAGCTCACCTTGTCGCTGTGGGACAGCATTTGGTCCCTGGCTCCTTCAGCATTTTCAACACCTGAGCCAAGTATGACAAGGTCCCAGCAACTTTGTGGATCACCTGGGGCCTGGAAGGTCCTAGAGGCAGTGAGAGTCTGACACAGGTTCTAGTTCATCCAGTGGGTGCCCCCTGTTCTTTCTGGCTCCCATTCCTTCTTGCTCCACCACCCTTCATGGCCATGTGTTCTTCTAGACTTCAGGCCCAGCACTAGAGGCAGAAGCAACAGTTGCTCACAAACTAAGCAGTTCCAACCTCCGGAGTGAAGCTCTTACTCTATGCTAGTCATAGTTCTACTTCCCTGGCTAAACCCAGTCTGATAACAGACTTGAAGAAGACACCAGACTCATCTGTAATCTCACACCCGGCCAGGGCTATTGTACAACTTCCTGCCCAAGAAACTTTGACTGAAGAGCATGGGCCCCAGGTTAAGTGACTGCTCAAGGCTCAGGGAGCTGGTGGCGGGGCTGGACCCCAAGAAGCTGGTTTCATCCCTGCTGGAAGCTCTGTCCACTGGGCCCAGAACCCCTAGTAACTTTCTGTCCTCTGCCTTGCCTAAAAGACTTTCTTGCTTCATCCTGGGTTGTGTGAAGGCAACTTTTGACACTTTTTCCTGAGCTCAGTAGCTATCTGCTTTTACAACTTCCCTATTTTGTTCTAATCAAACTGCAGGAATTTCACCTTCCTGTTCTTCTTTTTTAAAAAACATCTTTTAAACTAGAGTCTTGCCATGTCATCTACATCTGGAGCACTAACTGGATAGTTAGGATCACTAGGGGGTCAGAGTGAGCCCACAGGCCCTGGTCTCCCTGTCAGTTAGAGATGAGATCTTAGATTTCAGCACTGTACCTCAAGGTTTCTCTTTTAAACCTGAAGTATTCTTGAGAGGAGTAACTGAGGAAATGTTTAATTCTTCAGAATGAATGATTGCCCGGATGCAGTCCTAAGGAATATGGTTTCCTAAAAGCACAGTGAACAGGGGCAGAGCATGGCCAGGGGAAGAAGGTAAAGACAACTTCACTGGTGCCAAGAGTGGTGGCACATGCCCCTAATCCCAGCACTCAGGAGGCTGAGGCAGGAGGATCGCCATGAATTCCACTCCAGCCTTGGCTACCTTGGGATATACACAGTGAGACTGTCTCTAAAAACCAACTAAACAAACAAACAAAAAACATGACAACTTTGCCTAGTTTGCCAAATTTGGCTGAGCTTCCTGAATGTTGAGATTTGTAATAGTAATGGTGAACAGGGCCTTTCTGCTCCAGTCTGAATCCCTGGCTGGGCTGTGCTCCTCACCTGGACAGTGAACATCCGAGGAGGGCGAATTGCTTCCCTGGAAAAAAACACAGCTAGTGGGGAGCAGGTGGGGTTGAGGTATAATTAAGGAACCAGTGATGATGAGCGACGCAGCGACACACACCCTCCCAGCATGTCAGTTCTGCCTGGCTGGTTTCTTGAAGAGGAACAAACCACAGATGCTGTGCTTAAGGTTTTTTGCTCTCTTTTCCTTTCTCTCCCGATGACTGTGGACACTGGTGGCCTCTTTCCTCATCTGCTCCCATCCCTGCTATCTCAGTGGAGGGGACGGTTGGCTACTGAGTGGGATCCTCAGGCTGGCAGGGAGGCCAGAGCTCCAAGCACAGGAGCACCCAGTGGTAACATTATCCTGCCAGAGCCAAACAAGGAACCAAGTGTTTAGAGTAACTTCAAGAAAGCCCCCGCCTGGGGTGGGGGAGTTTCCTCTGTCAGAGAAACAAGAAACCACAGTGAGATAATGGATAGCTATATTCAGGTCACAGATTATCAGCTGCCACTGCTGCTTCCTGTTCGGAATTCGATGAAACTTCTTTCTAGTCACTCGAGTCTTGTGGATTCTGTAAGCATGGCAGTATTTAGTGACGTGGGGCTTGGGTGCTCTGCACAAAGCTCTGGCATAACCCAGAAGTGGGAACTGGGTTTGTGTGTGAGTGTGGTGGTGGGGAGGGTTGTTTTTCCAATACTGAGGATTGAACCCAGGGCCTTCATGCCCTTTTTGTATTTTTTATTTTGAGACAAAGTCTTGGTACATTAACTAAGTTGCTCATACTGGGCTCAAGTTGCAATCCTCCTGCTTCAGCCTCCCAAAGCACTGAGATTGTAGGCATGCACCACCACACCCAACCAGGAACTGTTCTTTTGTGGTGAGGTTTCGGGGGCCAGTTCCTGGTAGAGGATGGCAGGGAAGGGACTAACAGCAAGAATAACTTTAAGTAAACGTTTAGTATTTTTCAGACTTTTTGGGCTAAGAGTTTTTTGTGCATTATCTCATTTGAGCCTCAAAAAATCACCCTATAAGAAAGGTTCTGTTATTTTCCCCATTTTATAGATGAGGACAAGAGCTTAAAATAGTAAAAAAAAAAAAAAAAAAAAA